CATACATCAAATCTCAACTCAAAACATCTACAGTAAAAGGAACCTGGCATCTCCTTTTCTCTCTTTCCCCAGGCTGCTCACTCTCTCTCTCCCTCCTCCCATTTTACCTTTCTACCCACAAGAAATAATTTGAAGCTGGGTGGTGGTGGCGCACACCTTTAATCTCAGCACTTGGTAGGCAGAGGCAGAGGCAGGCAGATCTCTGTGAGTTCAAGGCCAGCCTGGTCTACAGAAAAAAAAGAAATAATTTGAAGGATGGAGAAATGTCTATTAGAAGTACTACTCAGGTGGGCATGGTAGCACATGCCTTGAATCCCAGCACTTGGGAGGCAGAGGCAGATGGAACTCTGAGTTCAAGCCAAGGCTGGTTTACAGAGCCAGTTCCAGGAAAGCCAGAGCTACACAGAGAAACCATCTTGAAAGACAAAAATAAACACAAGTGAAAAGTACTGTTTTGGTTTGAATAGGAACGCCCCCCACCCTCAAGGTTCATAGATTTGAACTCTTGGTCATTAGGGAGTGGTGCTGCTTGACAGGGATTAGGAGGTGTGGCCTTGTTGGAGTGGGTGTGGTCCTGTTGGAGTGGGTGTGGTCTTGTTGGAGTAGGTGTGGCCTTGTTGGAGTGGGTGTGGTCCTGTTGGAGTGGGTGTGGTCCTGTTGGAGTGGGTGTGGTCTTGTTGGAGTAGGTGTGGCCTTGTTGGAGTGGGTGTGGTCCTGTTGGAGTAGGTGTGGCCTTGTTGGAGTGGGTGTGGTCCTGTTGGAGTAGGTGTGGCCTTGTGGGAGTGGGTGTGGCCTTGTTGGAGGAAGTGTGTCACTTGGGATGGACTCTGGTGTTTCAAATGCTCAATCCAGGCCCAGTATCTCTCTCTTCCTCTTGGCTGTTGATCCAAATGTAGAACTCTAAGCTCCTTCTCCAGCGCCATGTCTGCCTGCACACTGCCATGCTTCCTGCCACACTGACTGTCTTAGTTAGGGTTTCTATTGCTGTGAAGAGACACCATCACCAGGGCAACTCCTATAAAGAAAACATTGAATTGGGTGGTTTACAATTCAGAGGTTCAGTCCATTAACATCATGGTGGGACATGGTGGCATGCAGGTAGACATGATGCTGGAAAAGGAGATGAGTATTCTATATCTTTGATCTGCAGTCAACAGGAAATGAACTGAGACCCTGGTAGTATTTTGAGCATAGAAGACCTCAAAGCCTGCCCCCACAGTGATAGAGTTCCTCCAACAAAGCCACACCTCCTAATAATGCCACTCCCAACAAACTTAGAGGGGGGGCAATTACATTCAGACTACACACTGATAATGGACTAAACCTAGGAACTGTAAGCCAGATCCAAATAATGCTTTTCTTTATAAGAGTTGCTGTGGTCATGGTGTCTCTTCACAGCAGTAGAACACTGACTAAGACAAGTTTTAGATACTCTTGCTGAGAACGTAAGTTTAGTTTCTAGCCACCAACACTGGGAAGCTCACAACTGTCAGCAATGTCTAGCTCCAGAGTATCTTGCTCTCCTTTTTGGGCCTCTGCACTCATGTGTTCAAACACACAATTGCACACACATATGTAAAAACATGAAATAAAATCTTTCAAAGGGAACCGTCTGTGTATCAACTTTGTGTTAAGAGTAGGTACATGAGGGGTTGGAGAGATGGCTGCTTTTTCAGGGGACCCAGGTTTAATTCCCAGCACCCACATGCAGCTCACAACTGTCTGTAATTCTAGTTCCAGAGGTTCCAACACCATCACACAGGTATACACACAGGCCAAACACCAATGCACATAAAATAAAAATAAATAAATGAATTTAAAGGCCAGGTAAATGAGTAAAGAGTTTATGATATAGGGCTAGAGGTGTAGTTCAGTAGTACAGGGTGCATGAAGCCCTGGGCTTTATCTTCAGCATCATAAATAAAAAAATGTATATAAAAACTGTGTGTATGCAGGTACACAGTGGAATACTATTCAGCTGCAAAAGAAGGAATCTTGTCACTCACCACAATATAGATGAACCCAGAAAAGGTTATGTTAAATGAAAGAAAAGAAGTGCCACATAGTCTTAGTTACATGTGACACTGGAAGAGGTTGAGTTAATAGAAGCAGCAGTTGAATGGTAGTTAACAGAGTTTGGCAAAGGTGTGGCTTGGAGGTGGTCAAAAGATTTAAATTCTCAGTTAGAGAGGCGTAAGTGGAAGAGATCTATTATATAACATGGTGTAGCTAATGGCAAAAATCACATTCTTTTTTTTTTTTTTCTTCCGAGATAGGGTTTCTCTGTGTAGCTTTGGAGCCTGTCCTGGAACTCACTTGGTAGCCCAGGCTGGCCTCGAACTCACAGAGATCCGCCTGCCTCTGCCTCCCGAGTGCTGGGATTAAAGGCGTGTGCCACCGCCGCCCGGTAAAAATCACATTCTTGAAAGTTGCTGGTCCTGGAAAGATGGCTAAGGGCATTTGCTACTCTTGCGGAGGGCCAGAGTTCAGTTTCCAGCACCCATGTGAGGTGGCTTACAACTTCCAACTCCAGGGGATTTGATGTTCTTTTCTGGCCTCTGCTGGCACCTGTACTCACATGTCCACACACACACTTACAAATAAAAGTAAATTTTAAAAGGGAAATTGCTTAGAAAGTCCTGGCACTGTGCATTTGTCCCCTTGTTTAATTTAGTTACTCTAAATATATGTAGACTTTAAAGTATCGGGTACATAATTTTTGTCAATTAAAGATTGTGTTCAGGGCCGGAGGCATAGCTCAGTGGTGGATCCCTTGCCTACCCTGTACCTGATCCCGAGTTTGATACTCATCACTGTGAAAAAAGAATTTCTACAGTAACAACTGCAACCATCAAAGTCAGGTTTCAAATTACTTAAAATGCACAATTCAGTTGATGATAGCAGAACCAGGCAGGCGAGAACAGGAGACAGTTTAGCTTGAGTTCTCCACCTGCTTTTGGGTTATGTACCCCACCAACAATGCACCCAACAGCCAAATTCCTTTCTCTGCATGTTTTATGCACACATACCCCTCTCCAGACTGCACCCAGCAGCCTCAGACTTTCCTCCAGTCCCACCCACACCAGAGTACATGCCCTCCCATCTTTGAACAAGGCTGTAAGTTTCCCTGCCGCAGCTCACAGTCACGATTAGACAATTTCATTCAAGTATATTATTCCCAGCATTTTTTGATTTGAAGAATAGAGGGCCAGTCCAGACTGAACTGGTTTTGGGTACATGCACAGTAAGGCAAAACTATATCCTCTAGCAACGCTTCAAGAGACTCTTCTATTCCCCATGTTATGCCCATGCATAATTGGGTGCATATGTGATTAAAATGATGCAGTATGGGAAGGGACATGTGTAATAGAGAAATGATGATATAACTTGATCTATGAGAACTGCCCAAACTACTCCCCTTAGTAAGCAGACTCCTCTTGAAACCCATAAAAGGGAGCCCCAAACAGTAACGGGGGCTCTTAGTACTCTTGCTAATGTGGCTCGCTGTCAGTCTTTGCTCTGAATAGTTTTCTTGATTTTTCTACAAAAAATCAAGTGTGAGCCCTTGTTTTCAATTCTTGGGATTAGAGACCAAGAACTTGGAAACATCTGGCCCGGACCCAGACCACCGCCTTGCTTAGTCGGCAGAATGCTTGAAGAACCTGGAACATCTGGCCCGGACCCAGACCACCGCCTTTGCTTAGTCCGGTATTTGATCCTGAGCCCAGCAGAAACTGGTCATGCTGGTGCACACCTGTAATCACCGAACTCAGGAGGCAGATGCAGGAGGATGAGGAGCTCAAAGCCACGCTTGACCACACGCGAGTTCCAGGCCAGCCTCGGGTACAGACCGTCTCAAAACAAGACAAACGAACGAACAACAAGCAATTTCTTGAGGCCACACACGCCCACAAAGTCTGACTGTTACGTGCCTCCATCTCTCACTGGACCTATTTTCCCTTCGTTCCCCTTGATAAACATTTGCATAGAATGTGTTAGGGGCCAGGTTCCCTGTACTTCTCCTCTAGTAAGTAGATGAAGCTGGTAGTGGTATACATCGGTAATTCCGGAACGCCTCAGGTTGGTGCAGGGGGATCCCTGGGCTACAAAAAGAGACCCTGCCTCAAAACAAGACCCCATTAATATCATTTCAATATTATCTCCCCTAACCTCAATATCATCTCTTTCCAGTGAGGTTAGGGCTTTTGCTCTACTCTCTGCTACTCAGTTAGGTGTGCACCTTTATTCTCATTTATGCCTTTTAGTATTCTCAAAATTTGTTTACCATTGCATTTAATTACAAATTTTATTTTTATTTATTTTTGAAAAATTATTGCCTTATTTATTTATTTATTTATTTATTTATTTATTTATTTATTTATTTATTTAGTGTGTGGGTGGGGGGGGGTAATCCTTACCAGGGCCAGCATGGAGTCAGACTGCTTGGGGAAGTCAATTCTTTCCTCTCACCAGAGGATCACACTCCACTTGTGAGGCCTGTCAGCAATCACCTTCATCCACTGAGCACCTTGTTGGCCCATGGATTTTATTTTTTAATTTTTGGTTGACCATCTTCTTTGCTAACTTCACACACACACACACACACACACACACACACACACACACACACACACTGCATTCTGTATGTTCTCACCACGTCTTTTAAAAACCAAGCCCCACCCTTTCTTTAAAGTTTGTGTGTAGTGCTCATGTGAACACTGAGGTTGTTGAGGTTGAGAGGGCTCCTGGGATCACTCAGCTTATAAACACCCAGTGTCTCCTGTGTGTGTGTGTGTGTGTGTGTGTGTGTGTGTCTGTCTGTCTGTCTGTCTGTCTGTCTGTCTCTATGTCTATGTCAAGGGGTTGAACCTAGAGTCTTGCACAAGCTGGGCAAGCGCTCTACTGTTGAGTTCCACTACCAGCTCATCTTTTACTTTTTCTTTTGAGACATGATCTCACTAACTTGCCCAGGCTGGTGCTAAATACAAAATTCTCCTAACTCAACCTCCTGAGTAGTTGGGATTGCAGGCCTGCATCCCCAGGCCTGAGTCTAAATTTAGGTCTATTTTCACCATGTGGGGCCCCACAGATTCTCTCTGTGGGGATCTTTCCACAAATTCAATGCAAGGCCATTCAATTGTAAATATATCTCCTTGCTTTCCAAAGAACATTATTCTCCAGAAAGATGGTTGAAGTGGGATTAGAATGTAAATGATAGAACACAGGATGGGTGGAGATGTGCATAAAATTGAGGAACCTAGAAAGAGGCCGTATGGGCAGGGATGGCTCCGTGGGTAAAGGTGCTTGCTGCCAAGTCTGATGACCCGAGTTCAATCCCAGAAATCCACATACCTACCTACACACACACACACACACACACACACACACACACACACACACACACACACACACACACACACACACACGTAAATAAATACGTCAATGAAAGGAACCATTGTGACTGGAAAAAAGAGGCTCTAAGGGA